ACCTCCAACTCCTGGGCTTAGGCGATTCTTCTGCCTCAGCCTCCCAAGTAGCTGGGACTACGGGCGCCTGCCACAACGCCCGGCTATTTTTTTGTTGCAGTTTGGACGGGGCTGGGTTTGAACCCGCCACCCTCAGTATATGGGGCCGGCGCCTTACTCACTGAGCCACAGGCGCCTCCCAAGAGCCCATTTCTTAAAAGAGAAAAACAACAACAAAAAGAACAATCTTAACGAGGTGTGGTGGCACACACCTGTAAGGGAGGCTGTGGCAGGAGCCCAGCCCAGGAGTTTGAGCCTGCAGTGAGCAATGGTTGACTCCTATGCACTCTAACCTGGGTAACAGAGACCTTGTCTCAAAAGCAAACAAACACCCTACAATTAATGGCTTAAGCTTTCACTTAAAAGGGTTTGCCAAAGCAATCTGCCCAGATAAGGCCAAGAGCAGTAACTGACTGTTCACTGATCCATCTGCCTTCCTGTGGTGCTCATAAGCAGGTACATATCTAAGGCTCTCCTCACGGCCTGGTTATTGTTCTAATGCCTCCCCTGTCAAATGAACTTCTCTAGGACAAGCAGTTCCCCTGTATTTGGCAGAGCTTTAGGTACTGATCACGGCCTTTCTTAAGCTGAACTGAGATCTTGAGGACAGAGCTCCATGGGCACTACTCTGCACACAGGACACCCACTCCTCACATGAATCAGAAGCAGCAGCTGTCCATCTACTTACCTCTTTACTCAACACACACTTGTGGAGCAGTTAAAAGTCAAAGCAGGATGTACTATCTGTACCATCCGGGGAAGAGAGGTTGCCTCGGAAAGGCAGAGGCCTGCACAGCCAGGAACCATGTACAGAGGCCCATCCCCAACCCCTCAGTCTCTAGAAGGCAGGAATCATGCAAGATGGAATCTTTGGAGCACTTGTTAATCCGTTATGATTTATTAGCTGTACAGCAGTAGATCCTCCTCCCCAGCTTTCAACCCCATTACATATTTTATTACATGTCTCATGTTGGCGTCCTAAAATAATGAAAAATATCACACAGTACAGCTAAGTACAAAATGCATCAACCTAGAGTCTGATAGCTAACTGATGGCTCTCTTAAAAGCAATACACAGAAGAAAAAAGTGTTTTGAAATCAGTAAGACTGAGGCTCTCTAAAAAACACATTTTAAACATGTGATAGTTCATGTGCAAGAATCACTTTTTAGTTGGTTTTGCTTCACATTATTATTATTATTTTTTTAAAGATCCAAAGTTTAAATTACTGACCTAGTGAAATTTTCTGGCCCAGCTTATAAGGGCTGCTGTGACCCACTCATAATCACCCTTCTGCTTTAACAGAAGATTTATAAAACACAACATTCAGCTACAAACAGCAAAGAAAATGTCGATGGGAAATCATAACTGAAATTAGTTGTAGAAGGTTCAAATGCTGGCTCCATGGGCTGGAAATCACGATCTTCCATGTGGGTGTCCGTCACTAGCAGGCAGCAGTCTGGGTACTGTTCTGCTACATGATTGTGATCCAATTCCTTGTCAACATTCACACACTAGTCTGTGGTAACTTAATTTGCAAGTAATTAAAATGCTGGGTTTTCTTACACTGCACTTCTTTCAACCTCTTAATTAATGGAAAAGATTAAAATGTAAAAAAAGTTATTTACAAGCTTGACCATACCAGAAACTCTGCCAAGAAAGAGGCAAAGCTTTCAGGACAGGAACCGATCGTAGCATGCCATACTACTGGTGTGCAGCTGACTCCAAGCAAAGGGAGTCAGGGAAAAGCAAAAGCAAAAAACAGTTTAAAAGTCTAAGTCCTTCCCAAGTTATGCATTTACAATTAAAAACTCTCTTGGGAAGAAGACCATAGAACTCTGGGAAACCTGGTGGCCATCCTGGAGTGGTTTACCATATTGAGAGAGAGGGGTCAGTGTCTGTCTCCATCTAGGAAAACTAGCGAGGCATCGCCACTGTCCTCAGCACTTCAAAGTGAACCCTCAGGGACTCAGAACATTCCATGATTTGCTAACATCAGACAGCAAGTTCTAGTTAAATCACATTTTTTCTAACATCATCCTTGAAGTTTTCGTTTTCAGTACGTTTGGTAAAATGGTTGTAAAACGATGCCTTTCCCAAAGCCAAAAGAAGAAAGAAGGGAGAAAAATTAAGATGTGGGCCGTTGAAACACAGCCCAGAGTAGTCCTGGCAACTCGCTAGGCCCCACCATCACCGGTCCATCATGCTGAGAATCATCTCGGGCGTGAGGTCTCCGTTGGGGGCATCTGTGGTGGTTGGCTGGGCTTCCTCTTCCTCTCCCTCTGCTGGCTCAGCATCTGGCTCTTTTTTGACTTCAACTATAATGTTCTCAATTGCACCTGTATTCTGGTCTTCAACCTGAATGATGGCTGTTGCTGGCAAAGAAGAGCACGAACAAAACAAATGTACATTAAAGCCCCCAAAGATTACAAGGGTTCTTTCAGACTTGATAGTGAGTGGGATGTCAGCAATATAGGGAGGCCTCAGTAGTGATAGAGAAAGCCAACAACAACAAAAAAAGACTTAAAGATCTAACACGTGGCCACATAAAATAAAGCTCTACTCTGGAAACTAGCGAAGAACAAAATGCTGACAGTCACTTTCAGATGGCTCCCAAATTACACATTAAAAACTTTAGTTTTTCTTTATGTTATAGATTTAGGCTTTAATTGTGTGAGAGGCAGGCAAAAGGTGCAGAAAGCACATGTCTAAAGTACTTCAGAGTATGTGACTCAGATGACCCACCTAACAGCAAGGTAATGTTTCTTTTTTTTCTTGAGACAGAGTCTTACTTAGTCACCCTTGGTAGAGTGCTTTGGTGTCATAGCTCACAGCAACCTCAAACTCCTTGGCTCAAGTGATCTCTGGCCCCAGCCTCCTGAGGAGTTGGGACTACAGGTGCCTGCCAAAATGTCCAGCTATTTTTCAGAGATGGGGGTCTCACTCTTGCTCAGGCTGGTCTCAAACCCATGAGCTCAGGCAATCCACCCGCCTCAGCCTCCCAGAGTGCTCGGATTATAGGCATGAGCCACCGTGCCCGGCCTCAAGGTGACATTTTTGATCCTGCAGCTCTCCATGCCCAGGGCCCTCCTAGCAGTCTGACTGCTCTAGTGCATGAAAGTGAATGAAAGGGCTGATTTCAGGATCTATAGTTAACCTCTTTTTCTGTGACAGACATGGGGCTCAGGGAGAACATTTAAAAAACAGATTAAGCCTGCATTGTTTAAGAAAAAAAAAACCAACACAACACAACACAACTCTCAGCTCTCAGGAGATTAAGAGAGACACATGAGAAGGAGCGTACATAGAGACCTGTATCTCCCTGAGTCTGCCACTTGTGGTATGAGGTGGAGGGTGAACCTCTGCTGTATCCTCTCATAAACCAGGAGGCCAGTCCTTGAATTCACAGGTCTGAATTTCTTAGGAGGGGAAATCTCAGCACCAAAATTGCTTTATTCCTAATCCTTTAAAATTTGGCTCTTCTCCATTCATTACCATATCAAATCTGCTAGCTGACTGTGACTTTGGTTGTTTTGCAAAACCCACCCACGTTAACAGCACCCATCTCGTGGAACACAAGAATCCTTCTACTCTGGACTTGTTCTCCTTGAAATATAACAGGCCTCTAAAGACTTCCTCAGATGTTCCTTAGTAAAAACTCCTAAAAAATCACTTCCTGAGTTTGTTCCTGATGAAACCACAACTTGTTCTCATGGCTTAGTTCCCATCTTCCCAAAGAACAAGGACCCGTCTGGTTCCCCCACATGTTGAGAGAGGATGTCAGCCTTCAGAATGGAGACAGCAACTTACGCTGGTTCTGTTTGGATTGGTTGGTTCTGCCAGGGGGTCGTCCTCTCCGCTTTTTGGCGGGGGGTGGGGCTGGGGTCACAGGCTGGGGCTCTGGCTCGGGTTCAATTTCCACGGCGGGCTCCTCCTCATCTTCATTGTCATCCAGATCTGGCTCGGCATTTTCTTCTCATGAAATTATGAAGCACAGGTGGTGGAGCAGGAGAAAAGTGGAGAGAAAAAAAAAAAAGAAAACACAAATAATTATATATTCTGTGAAGTTGTGTTATATATCTTCTCTAGTAAGAAAGGCCCATTTAAAAATACTTTTGCTGGAATTTTTGCTATCAGCAGTAATGTAGTATACTGGGATTGTAGCAGAATTCAAACTTTTACATGGATTGGATATTACTTTCTGCTTTTAGCTTTTTTTTGGCGATAGAGTCTCACTATGTCACCCTCAGTAGAGTGCTGTGGCATCACTGCTCACAGCAACCTCAAACTCTTGGGCTTAAGCGATTTTCTTGCCTCAGCCTCCCAAGCAGCTGGGACTACAGGCACCCACTACGATTCTGCTTTAGCTTTAAACCTCAAAATAATGGGTTTCAAACTCTTAGAGACAATTCCATTTTGTATCAGTTATATAACAAAACCACAAAAGAGTATTTAAATTGAAAATAAAACAAATGTTCTCTCTACCTGCTATACCAGGATAAAGCAGGACACAAAGCCTGAGATGGACCTTTGGAAATGTGATCCTGCTCATCTAAGTGAGCAGGAGAGGTAGGTATGAATTTGTCAGGGGGCAAGAAAGAAATTTACTTTCAGAGATGGAGGGCTATTTGTACAGGTTGGTTTCAAACTTGCCATGTGGTCTTCCTGCCTCAGCCTCTCATAGTTCCTTCACTTTTATATACCACTTATTTTACCAAGGATGAACAGTTATGGCATTAGGAAGAAGGCAAGGGGGTTATGGTCTGGTATAGTTGGGAATTAACCTATAAACTTGCCTTAAGAAGAAATAGTTTCAAAGAACTCTCTGCCAATTATCCTTGTCAATAGGATGCCAAAATGACTTTCATTTTCTTTGAGACAAGAGTCTCACTCTGTCACCCTAGGCTAGAGTGCCATGGCATCAGGAATTTCTGTCTCCCT